GCTGGCAAAGTGTTCCATAATGTTGTGCCTCTGATGGACACCACCATTTGGCTGAATTTAGTCCTGCGCCTTTGCATTCTCCTCTGGTTAGTGCTCTGGTTCTGACTCCACGGTTGTCTTTTTTACATATAAAATCCATCAAGGGAGGAGGAGCAAGTCCATTTAATACTTTAAGAATAAGGCAAGCATCCAGAAACTTCTGATTACTCTCAAAATCTAAAATGTTATACTTACTTACAAAATTACAATAATGATAAAGCAAGGGCTTCCTATCTAATATTTTAAGTGTTTTCTTAAACAGAGACTTTAGTGGCTTCAAAGTGCTCTCGAACGTGTGGGACCAAGTCGTGTGGCAATAGTTGATGTGACTATCATTGTGTGCATGTAAGCCTTAGCTGACTCTACAGTCAATTAAGGCCTTATATGTTTAAAGTTTGCCAAGTTAAATTTAACAATATTTGATATTTTCTTAACATGGTCTTTGAAGGTTAAGTGTGAATCAAAGACTACTCCCAGATATTTAAATTGTTGGACCACCTCTAATTGCTCTCCATCGACCAGAACAGATGGCTGTTCACTCCCTCCTGGCTGACGGGAGAAGAACATGCATACAGTTTTTTTTAGTATTTAAGTGTAGGCAGGAGTTTTGAAGCCATTGTGTTACTGGAACCATGGCCCCAGAGAGGACTGCTGCAGCCTCTGCTTTTGTTTTTGCATGAGTATACAGAACTGTGTCATCTGCATATAATTGTATTTTTACTGTTTTACATACTGTTGGTAAATCATTTACGTATAGAGTGAACAAGATTGGCCCCAATACTGAGCCTTGGGGGACTCCAGCAGAGCAAGTGAGATAAGATGAGCAAGTTTGTTCTATTTGTAAAGCTTGCTTTCTGTCATCAAGATATGACTAAGACTGCGGTCACATGCGCAGCCTAAAGACCGGTTAAAGTGTGCCAGGGCCCGCTTCGCGATTAGATCCGGGCTTTAGGTGCCATCTGACCGCGGCATTCGCGCCAGAGCACGATTCATGGACTCGTGGTCTGACCCGGTTAAAAACTGCGGCCAGGGCCCGCTTCCCTGCGCAGATGAGGGGGGTCAGTGTGGCGGGTAGTGGGGAGTGGGGGATTAGGTGCGGGGAGTACTTGATATTGTGCGTCACATTACGTCTTCATGTGACACGCATTTTCACACACGTCTCTCCTGCACTTTTGTATTCTCCGCTTGTGTTAAAAATTTTATATAAACCCACGTACTGTGCTGGAGGGGCGCAGGGGAGTGTCTCTCTGCAGGGCCAAAGAAAAGCGTTTCCTATGGGTATAGCTCTCTTCTGTCCTGACCCTCGCTCTCAGTGTGGTGCTATTGCAATAGCACTTCAGACATTCAAGAATCAGTCTTTATTTTATCACCAGAACACACACAAACACACGCACACACTTGTAACCTCGCTGTCTGCGGTCGCTCTGCTCATACGCCACACTTTTCATTCCTTCATTCTCATTCATTCATTTCTCAGCGCTCTTACGTTCGTTGCTAAAAGAGTATGTGTGTGTGTGTGTGTGCGCATTCACGTTACCCACTGAACTGCTGCACTTTGCTTCAGAGCAATTTAGACAAGTGTGAGATGTACTGTATCTTTCCCTAAACAACGCGATCCGTAATTAGCTGTTAGCTACAGTAGCAGAATGTAAACAGGAAAAGAAGCGGATCTCAACCAGGGCAACGAGGTAGTCTCTGGTGTTAGTATTAGCGCCACCAGCTGGACCGAGTGTTGTATTACAGCACAATTTCCCTGGCACGGTTCAGACAACACGTTCATGTGACCGAGGGCCGTTTTCACACCCCTGTGGCGACGATCCAGGCCACTTGGCCTAGTACGTTTGTAAAAACCTATGTGACCGTGTCCTTTATCCAGCAGAGAGCGCTTTCAGAAAAGTTGAAGAATGTTAACTTCGCCAGGAGAGCATCATGGTCAATGGTGTCGAATGCACGTTTTAGGTCTAGGAATACAGCCCCCACAGAGCCACCTTGGTCTAGGACAGGGGTCGGCAACTCAAAAAGTTCAAAGAGCCATATTTGAGCAAAAATAAAAAAAACAAATCTGTCTGGAGCCGCATAAACTTTACTGCCTTTTTTAAGGTTTATATGAAAGCAACACAGGCTGTAAGCTGTATTAGCCTACTATCAAAATGAGTAAGTATAGGCTACAAATACATAATATGCATTCATGATTATTATATATATATACATTTTCACTGTAGTGCAAGAGAGTGACGCACCATGTGACTACTCTGCTATACCATATATGCTTTAAGTTTAACTTTCCTTTTGTTGCGTTCATACAATTGTAGAAATACAGTAAATACATCTGTTTTTGGCTCAGTTCTCATACCTGCATTACAGCACTTTCTGTTCATATCGATCACGTCACACGTCGTCACGGCTGGAGTTTGCTGGAGCTGAATGTCCCGAACGGTGTTTCGCACTTTTTTGTTCCTCGTGTTGCAACAAAATTCAGGCGTAGAAGTTTGGAGATGAATCCTCCAGAATAACTGCGATCGCACTGTTTCTCTCCAAACTGGGGTCAGCAGCCGATTTTCCACATGACTCTTTTTGTTCTTCAATATATTCTCATTACAAAGCAAACATGAAGCAGTCCTTCCTCATTGACTCAATGAGAGCCAAATGTTACAGTCCATTTGTCCTTGAGTTCCTGGTTCTTATCAAGTATTTCCCTTTTTAGCTTTGGGATTTATGCGGACTCATGTGGCACATGCTGGTTTGTTTACAACAGCGGCCCCCGGCGCGGGGCCGCGTAACCGCGCGTCGCAGGATATGACGCACATCTCAGTTGACACAAATGTTAAAATTAAATATTTCTTATGCACATTTTTACTGCATTGGAAAACATTAAGAATGTTGTCCTTCCTACAGAAACCACATTGAAACTATAAATAAAATATACCCTTCCCACTCCATTTTCGGACATTTTTGAAAAGGCTCCAGGAGCCACTCAAGGGGCACTAAAGAGCCGCATGCGGCTCCGGAGCCGCGGGTTGCCGACCCCTGGTCTAGGAGATGTTTGACGTTTTCTAGAAAATAGCAAGTGGCTGTCTCTGTCGAATGGCATTTCCTAAAACCAAACTGCATAGGATGGATGGGAGTCAGACCACAATTTAGATGTTCAGTTAGCTGAGTAGCAACCCATTTCTCAGCTATTTTTGATATAATTGGGACAATATATCTATAATTCTCAGGGGATGATTTGTCTCCTGCCTTAAACACTGGTGTGACTCGAGCAGTTTTCTATGCAGTGGGCACTATACCCAGTTTAATAGATAAGTTAATCAAGTATGTAATTGGGTAAGCAAGGGCATTTTTGTGCATTTTAAAAAAATTACTAGAAAGACTATGGGTATCTCTAGCTTTGGAGTTTTTAAAATATTATTTTATTTTCAAAACCGCAGGGACTGTAATTTCCTCAATTATGAATAATGGTTTACTGGCATCCATAGGGTTGCTTACTATGTTCGGGCATTTTAATTGCATTTTGAATTCCTTTATTGAGCTGATAAAAAAATCTTTAAAATGGTTGACAATAGTATGTAAATTGTCAGTTAGGGTTCCATTTGTGTGTAGCTGTAAATCTCTGGGAATTTGATCTTTTTGACGTTTTAACTGGCAGTTTAGATGTTTCCATACCAATTTGCCATTTCCATTAGCGTTATTAGTTAAATCAATGAATAATTTTGCTCCAGCTAGACGCATCTCCTTAACAACTTTATTTCTAAGTGATATAAAGATATGTCAGTCGCTTGTAAGACCCGACTTAAGAGATTTCCTTAAAGCATTGTCTCTTTTTTTCATCAACTTTATAATGTCAATATTAATCCAAGGAACGTTTCTCTCCTCCTTTCTTTTCACTCCTTTCTTTGTGAATGGGGCTAAAATTTCACACACCACCTTATTAAACGTATTTGAACTATCTTCAACATTAGTACTTTCCCCAACACTAGACCAAATTAGGTGTTCCAATTCATTTTTTTAAAATTGGTTGCTGACTTTTAGGTATGAATGTATAAGCTTTACATTTCTCAGCTCTGACAGTCCTCTCATTTTTAATTTTCCTTAGACATAGAATGAAATTGTGGTCAGAGAGACCAGATAAAAAATTGAAGGTTTTGGTCATTCTAGTGAAGATAAGGTCAATTGTAGTTTTGGACATATTAGTTACTCTTGTTGGACCATTTATGATCTGTGTCAGAGTATGTTTATCAGTGAGTTGTTCCAGTTTTTCCAATCCGATTTATTTTCCCAATTAATATTTAGATCACCCAGCAAAATTGTTTCTCTTGAGGAATTACACTGACTTAAAATTGATTCAAGTTGAGGATAAAAGCAGTCTTTTGCACAAGGAGGAGATAGTGTGACAATAAGATAATAAGGCATTCAATTTCTGTTTCTCTAGGCCACTGTATTAGTTCACATTTAAAATGTGTTTTGATATAAACCACCTCTTCCTGCCCCTCTGTCTCTCCTAAATACATTATATCCTGGAATATTTACAGCGGCACTAGGTGATGCAGGAGTCAACCAACTTTCAGATATTCCAAGAATATCAATATTGGAATCACAAAATAAATGTTCCATTTGCTCTGATTTGTTAACAATACTGCGGATATTAATGTGACCCAGAAGAATTCCTTTTGGTCTTGATCTTATATCCCAAATTACTTTCGCAGTATTTAGTTAAAAGTAAAAAAGGTGAGTGCTGCAGAGGGTACGTGTGGTAGAAGGCAATAAAAACAGGTGCTCTTCGAAGACGGGGCAATCTAAGCATGTAGAAAGTCAGAAGAGAACAAAGGTAGTCTGAGGCACTCTGTTTTAGTGAAAAAATTAAAAGTCCTTTAATGAATTGGACTGCCAATTACTTACTTTCGCAGTATTTAGAGTTTGGAAGAAGCACATTTTCTTTTGTTTTTTGATTGCAGGGTTCAGGGATGACTGCGTTTACTTCTTTGTTTTTTTGGATAGATGAGGTGAAAGGTGACCGGTCAGCTGAGGTGGTTGATTGGTCTGCTCAGGTAGAAGGTGACCGGTCAGCTGAGGTGGTTGCTCGGTCCGCTGAGGTGGAGGGTGACCGGTCTGCCGAGGTGGTTGACCCGTCAGCTGAGGTAGAAGGTGACCGGTCAGCTGAGGTGGTTGCTCGGTCCGCTGAGGTGGAGGGTGACCGGTCCGCCGAGGTGGTTGACCGGTCAGCTGAGGTAGAAGGTGACCGGTCAGCTGAGGTGGTTGCTCGGTCCACTGAGGTGGAGGGTGACCGAGCCGCCGAGGTGGTTGACCGGTCCGCTGAGGTGGAGGGTGACCGGTCCACTGGGGTGGAAGGTGACCGGTCCGCTGGGGTGGAAGGTGAGCGGTCGGCTGAAGAGGAAGGTGACCGGTCAGCTGAGGTGGAAGGTGAGCGGTCAGCTGAAGAGGAAGGTAATTGGTCAGCTGAGGTGGAAGGTGACCGGACAGCTGAAGTGGAAGGTGATGGGTCAGCTGCGGTGGAAGGTGACCGGTCAGCTGAAGTGGTATACAGTAGGTCCCATTCCGTTTTGTCGCCTTTCACGCGTGAATCACACGAGACTCACGTGTGATTCACGCGTCTTTTATTTTCCCCCCTCCCAGTGACGTTGCAATGACCAAAACAACCACCAGGTGGCACTTGTGAGCAGGGTTACATTGGCGAGCACATCGACAATCTGGTTAAAACGGGCAACTCCTTGTAGCAGGCCAGTCTCTGGAATAACCCGCAGACATTAAAACTACTGCATATAACGTAAACTTTTGCATCACGTTGGTGATCTTTCCAAAAAGAGAGAATATCGTTATGGAAAGAAACTATTGGTAATATAACGCTGAACGTTATTTGACTCAAACAGCTCCGCTGGTGTCTCCTCCCACTCAGAAAAAAAGCAGACGCCTTTTCTCTGGCATCTCTAACATTTATAATAAATACATAAATATAACAATCATAATGAAGATGCTTTCAAATAATTTAGCAAGCTGTAATTCATTTATTTTAACTCCCTGCCAAACTCCTCTCGCTGCTCTCTCCTCCGCAAACCACTAAATGAGGAAAAGGGAATATTCACTCAATCTATTTTGAATGTTACACATACAATATTAATATAGTCTAAGCACGTGTACCAACTGTAGCCCGTGTATTTACCACAGACTGTAAGTATTAAAGTAATGAGGCCCCTGCTTTAGGCCTCTGCTGTGAGGCCCACACACTGTAAATCCTTATATCCGCCTCACCTAAAATTATTGATCATACTTTACTTGATTTTTTTCCAAGTTTACTGTTCACCCACACACTATTAGTAACCTTTACAATTCATGTCAAAATCTAACTTTTAAATGACATAGTTGAATTTCATTTCATAAGTGTTGGTGTGTATCATCTATGGTATTTCTGCATCAGACAATACTTGAAAGGTGTCTGTAAAGTCAGTACTTTACTTAAGTTAATAAACAAATTGATGCGGGAATTACTTGAGTAAGCTTTTACGATATGCGCAGTTCAGTTTTTCACCTCATGGCTACGGTCACTTCCTGCCTCAGCGCCATCCTGTGCTTTTACACCGCGAGCACGGGACCTGTGCCTTCTCACCGCTCTGTATACAGTTATACAGGGAGAGCAGAAAGCAAACTCTACATTGTAATAAGTGAATCAGACCAAACCTTGATGTAAAATATTTAAGTAAATACTATATACTTCATTTTCCACTGTTTTATATTTTTGGTTGACAAATAAGTACTGTATAATATTATCATAGCACCCTGTACAATACTGATTTTATTGCATTAAGTGAAAATACTGTAAGCCTGTTGGTCCATTAATGACAAAACAAATATATTGTGTTGATTGAAAACAAAATGTGGTGAAGCAGTGATGCTACCCAGAACATCATTTGGAACAATTGGATTACACAATTTGGACATAATTTGGAACAATCTGGATTTCTGAATTTGGACATAATTTGGACTGAATTGAATTGCTGAATCTGGACACTAAAGCTGAAACGTGTGATTGAAAGACACGTCACAGAAGAATTCATGGCACAAATGCAGCCTGAAGAAACCAACACGGAGAAGTGGGAGAGACTGTTTTCAAAGCAATATCTGGAACCATCGACTGATGAAGTTTGGTATTTTACTGAAGATTGTTGACAAGTTTTATGAAAGATCTGAAAATGTTTTATGAGTTCTCTGAGTTTTTTGAAGTACCGAGTGAAGTACCGAGTTTAAGTATTGAGTTATGATGTTATGTTGCTGTTTATCGATCCTGATGGTCACACGTGAATGTGTGACCAGAGGGGGGAATGTGAGATTTCATAACACTTTGAAGCAACTTCTGTTCAAGTTAAACTCATCATTCTATCAATGTGCAGAAGCCTGTACTTTTCCACTTCATGTTTTGTCTATCTGAAGGCCAAGCTACAAGCACAACGTGGAAGCTGCTGATTGGAGGTCTCCATGCCTCCGCTCTGTATAATACACTTGCATTCTGTTGTTCGTGTTGTTCGTGCTGTCTCTACCATCGACAATAAAACATGTCTTCTGTCTGAATTTAAGACGCGATCCCAGACTTTGTCATCTTCTTCAGGTGGTGGAGAATGCGGGCATTGTCTGTAACATCTAGAGAACAGAAGACTACTTTTTTTTTACACAAAAATTTGTTTTTTTTTTTAAGCCAAAACTGAGAAACCTCAAGAGAAACCATGCGTCTGGACCAGCACACTTGGACAATCTGCACAGCCCCTGATTCCAGTCAGGCTGTGAGCTGCTGAGACATGGACAACACCATCGTCCTCTTTTGCATGGACATCATTTGGAACAATTGGATTACACAATTTGGACATAATTTGGACTGAATTGAATTGCTGAATCTGGACACTGAAGCTGAAACGTGTGATTGAAAGACACGTCACAGAAGAATTCACGGCTCGACACAAATGCAGCCTGAAGAAATCAACACGGAGAAGTGGGAGAGACTGTTTTCAAAGCAATATCTGGAACCACATTGACTGATGAAGTTTGGTATTTTACTGAAGATTGTTGACAAGTTTTATGAAAGATCTGAACATGTTTTATGAGTTTTCTGAGTTTTTGAAGTATTCCGAGTTCTGAGTTTTTTGAAGTACCGAGTGAAGTACCGAGTTTGAGTTTTTAAAGTATTGAGTTATGATGTTATGTTGCTGTTTATCGATCCTGATGGTCACACGTGAATGTGTGACCAGAGGGGGGAATGTGAGATTTCATAACACTTTGAAGCAACTTTTGTTCAAGTTAAACTCATCATTCTATCAATGTGCAGAAGCCAGTACTTTTCCCTTGTTTTGTCTATCTGAAGGCCAAGCTACATGGCACCGTGGAAGCTGCTGATTGGAGGTCTCCATGCCTCCGCTCTGTATAATACACTTGCATTCTGTTGTATCTGTTGTTCGTGCTGTCTCTACCATCGACAATAAAACATGTCTTCTGTCTGAATTTAAGACGCGATCCCAGACTTTGTCATCTTCTTCAGGTGGTGGAAGGATGCGGGCCTTGTCTGTAACATCTAGAGCAGTGGTTCCCAAAGTGGGGGTCCCGACCCCCCGGGGGGTCGCATGATGATTTCTACACAAACAAAAAAAAAAGATTTTTTTTTTTTGAGCAAATATAAAGCCCTTAAATATTTATTTAGCATTTGATTTGATTCAAAAGGACTACTTGTTAAATTGTGTTTGGAGACTATAATATATTTTAATAACGTTAGTAATTTTGTCCCATTGCAGCGTCAATCAAAATCATAACGTAACACAGCTCACATCATGCGCAGCGACAAAGCGTGTCCTGCTGTTGTTTGCTAAAACTAAAGGTGTTTGGAGGCTACAAATAAATAATACCTGCTTTAAAATGAAACATGGTTAATATCCACAACAGAAAAACCCGGAGGGGGAGAAAAGTCACTTGTATCAGGGGTCAGGCTGATGGTGCGAAGAGAGGGAGAGAGGGCAGAGGAGGGAGAGAGGGCAGCGGAGGGAGGGAGGACAGCGGTAGAACAGCGCGTTAAAGAGGCCCGGCTTTTCGGAGTCAAAGGAAAAGAGGTCCGCACATTAAAAGCGGGTGGCCGGTTTATGCCTTTACTGACAGTAACTTTGGAAAGAGAAGCCGCGGGGATGAACTGCATAAAGTAACAGCAGAAAGCGGCCGCCCGCTTTTAATGTGCGGACCTCTTTACCGCTGACTCCGGAAAGCCGGCCCACTTTACCGTGGTAGGAGAACAGTGAGGGCGAGCCGCAAGAAATGCGCTCCACTTCTGCTGAGGAGGGAGCCCACCAAGCCCATCACTGTCTCAGCCTCCTTTTTTGGGCTGGACAGTGCAGCTCGGTAGTGGCGTGAGTCTCTAGAAAGCGTTACTCCGTATCAAGGAAATACATGCGCGGGGGGGGGGGGGGGGTCGCGGGTTAGCAGGGCATTTATGATGGGGGTCGCGGGCTAAAAACTTTGGGAACCCCTGATCTAGAGAACAGAAGACTACTTTTTGTTTAAAGTCATAATTTCAATATTTTTTATTTTTATACACACATTATTAACTAAATGTTGCGTTCTAATCTTTTTTTAGGAGGAGGAGAGCGCAGTCAGGCCAGGCTCGCCTCGCACATCTTAAAGCTACTTTCAATATCTTTTCAAATCTGTTTTCCTTTTCTCCATAGCATGTCTGTAACAAAAGTTCTCATAATCTGAAGTCAGCGTATTTACATGGTTTTATGAAACAGAATTCTGAGAAAAACAGGTTTAAAGATCGACATTCCAAACATAATCATCACAGTCATATAACATGTAAATTTTGAATTACTCTGTTATGGCACACTTGTTTTAGTCACTATGTTGTAGAAGATTAAAAAGATGTTACTTTGGCACCAATTAAACACACAACACTCATGAATTAGTCGAAAATCAAGAATGTATTGATTCTTTCAATATTCAATGGATTGAATTTTGACCTCCTCTTCTTTTTCTTTCTCTTTATAATTTACTGAAAATTAGATATGTATTAGACATTGCCAGTATTATTCTATCAAATCACGCAGTCTAAATATCCACAACCACCAAGCATTTTTAATGCAAGGAGAAACTTAGGTAACTTTAAACACAAATAAAACAAATGGACCTGTCCGACTCGAGTGTCTATGCTTCGTGTGTCTCTGGTTCTGTCCAAGTGTCTATGATCCGCGTGTCTCGCGTGTCTCCGCCTGTCTGGGTTCTGTCTGCGTATATGTAAATGTAAATGTAAATGTCTGTCTGTGGTTCTGTTCGGGTGTCTATGGTCCTGTCTGTGGTTCTGTTCGCGTGTCTAGGGTCCGCGCTCGGAGCCCAGACGGCAGTGCGTTCACTGAGCTGTCAGAGCGGGGGTCACAGCAGCTGCTCCCGGGGCCAGAGCGGAGGATGTAACGTAACGTTCGGTTTATCAAAACATATCACAATATTTAACGTATAACACTAGTGAATTTCACCTAGATTTTTTCAGACATTAAAGACAAGATGTTATATAATAATTGTTTAATGAAAAAACAATTTTGCCACAAGCAACCAAAATTGCCTCAGACAAGAATCGAACCTGGGTTCTCCAGGTCCCAGTCTTCAATGCTAACCATTTGGCCAACATAGCATCTCTGGGCTAGACAGGTTTGCACGCAGCATGATACCTGAGCGTCTAAGTCGCTGGCAGAGCTAAAGCGGACTTAGCCTGCCACCTTGTGGCGATAAGATGTACTATTTTTCACGCAGCTGCGTGATTCCCGAGAAGCGTGAATGAAGACGACAAAACGGAATGGGACCTACTGTACCATACAGCTGAGATTGAAAGCTGTGTGAAGGAGAGGTTACCCTGTCAGACTGTACAACGAGAATGTAACAGGAACTGCTAATCAGTCACTGATAATTCACTAGTAACTTTGTCACTTGTCACTTTACCTGTTATCAGTACTACTGCATTATTACAAATCTGATATTTCTGCCTTTCACCAGTCACTTTACCTGTTGATATTTTACTATATTATTACATATCCATCTGATAATTCTCCCATTCAAGTCACTTTACCTGTTGATATTATTTCTGATGTTTATTCTGCTCATATTCATATTCTCCGCGGCTAATGTATAATATAGACATCTGTAAATACTTCCGAACCAAGTGCAATTATAGCCCAGAGTTTATCTCATTTTATTTTATTCTTATCTTGATTTTATTGTCTATCAATCAATCAACGTTTATTTGTAGGGCGCCTTTTCTACACAAGGCAACGCAAAGCGCCTCACAACCCATATAACATCATGCATAAATCATCAAACATTAGAATTTAAGTAAACATAAAAAGACAGATTAAGAGCACAAGATATATAAAATCACACAAGTAGTTAAAAACCGTAAAACATTAAAATCACAC